GAAGGAAGGAAGGAAGGAAGGAAGGAAGGAAGGAAGGAAGGAAGGAAAAAGAAACCTGCTCATTCATGCTGATTAAACACTATTCACAACAGCCAAGGTGGTATCAACCTAGGTGTCTATCAATAGATTGACAAATGAAGAAAATGTGATCATAGATAGATAGATAGACAGACAGACAGACAGACAGACAGACAGATAGATAGATAGACACTGTACTATTCAGCTATTAATTAAAACACAAATGTTATTGATACACTCACTGGCTCACCAAGGTGGATTTGGGTGGAATCCTTTGGTCTGTTAGCACTTCCTTCCTGGGGTAAATAAACATTTGTTCACTATTTCCTAGAAACAGTGTCACAAAACAGCAGGTCCCAGTTCTTTACCGTCATTGGCCTGTGTGTCAATTTACTGGAGCTGCTTTGACGTGATAGTACAAACTGGATGACTTAAACAAAAGACTTTTTTTTAAAATTTTCTCAAAGTTCAAGAAGCTATAGAAGAAGTCAAATGTTGCCAGGCAGTGGGGTACACACCTTTAATCCCAGCACTTGGGAGGCAGAGGCAGGGTATTTCTGAGTTCGAGGTCTACAGAGTGGGTTCCAGGACAGCCAGGGCTACACAGATAACCCTGTCTCGAAAAATCAAAAAACAAAAACAAAAAACAGAACAAAAACAAGAATCGGTCAAGGGTTCAGCTCTTTTAGGCTTCTCTGGTTGGCAAACCGATGATTTACTTCTCACACTTCAGTATCCTTCTTTACAAGTGTCCATCCTGTTTATAAGCAAATTCCCTCTTATTAAATACACCAGTCAGATTGGGTTAGCCCATTCTAATGGCTGTATTTTTTAGTATTATGCCTTTAAAGGTCTTATCTCCAAATGTAGTCAAAACTGTGATGTATTAGGGATTAAGTGCGTCTGCATACGGGTATTAGGGGCTGCAATTTTCCTGTAACAGCCAGAGTTTCAGCCGCTGGCAGTAGATCTTTTTATAGTTGATTCCCACGCATGGTTTTATGTAATCTTTGTGGGAGCAGAGGGAATTGTATCCCCTCCCCTTCCTCTTTTTCCTTCTCCTATTTGTTTTGTTTTTAAACAGGGTATCACTATGTAGCCCTGGCCCCAGGAACTTACTATGTAGACCAGGCTGGCCTTGAAATCACAGAGATCCTCCTGCCTCTGGCTTCTAAGTGCTAGGATTAAAGGCGTTTTCAAATACCATGGTCCCTAGTGTACAAGTGAAGAAAGCTTAGACCAATAGTTCTCAACCTGTGGGTCGCGACACCTTGGATAAACCTCTACCCCCAGAAGCATTCGCATTACGATTCATAACAGCAAAATTATAGTTATGAAGTAGCCACAAAAATGATTTTATGGTTGGAGGTCACTACAACATGAGGAACATAAAGATCCCCACCATTAAGAAGGTTAAGAACCACCGCTTTAGACAGTCTAGACAGCTTTAGAGGAACATGGGAGTCTGTCCTCTATTGTAACACATTATTGGATTTAATCTTTAATACTGATTAAAATGGGTCACTTATTTCGAGACTATAATTACAGTTCCCAGGGCACCAGTTTTAGAGCCTGAGAAATGGTGTGCCAAAAGCCCAGCCGCGGGGGTGGGAATCCTGGTGGGCGTGGTCTCACCTGGCTCTAAGGGGTGGGACCGTAAAGCCGCCGAGCCGTAAAGAACGCTACAGGTCGTGAAGAGTCGTGGCCGGAACAGCTGCTTTACGGCTAACTCCGCTTCCAGCGAGCGTGCAGAGCTTGCGGCTTCTGGTTTGCTGCACGTGTGGCGCTGTCGGTGACTTGTTTGGTAATCTCTCTCGTTGGCGCGGTAGCGCCACAGTGAAGAACGGAGTGGCATCATCGGCCTAGGCTCGTGAGCTGATGGAGTTTGCAGCTGAGAAGGAAGGGACTCCGGGAGGAGGTCCCCAGAGGGTAGCTGAGGGGGCGCGGCCGAGGCCTGCGGCTGGTGGGGAGGGAGCCAGGGACTTAGATGGGAGCCCCGAAGCTGGCAATGGAGAGGAGAGGAACGGACTGACAGGAATTAACATCACAGAGGATGCCGAGGAGATAAAGATGGACTTAGCTGTGGTGAAGCAGGAAGTAGTGGACTGGTCGGATTTAGACTGCGGTATTTCGGACAGCCTCTGGGTAAAGCAGGAGGTGGAGGGCGGGCCTGAGGTGAAGGATGAGAAAGGCGTGTTGGAGGTGAAGCAGGAGGCGGAGAGTAGCCTGGTGGTGAAAGAAGAGGAGGTGGATGAGCCAGAAGTCAAGGAAGAGAAAGTGAAGGTGAAGGAGGAGGTAACGGACTGGGAAGAAGTGAAGGAGGAGGACTTGAACGTAAAACAGGAGTTGTTTGTTGGTCAGAACGTAAAGGAGGAGCAGGTGATGGACGGCGTGCCCGTAAAAGAAGAGGATTGCCTCAAGAGAGAAGTGATGGAAGACACGAAGGTGAAGGAAGAGCCTCAGATGAATCCCCGAGTGGGCTGCAAGAGGAAATTGGCTATGTCAAGGTAGGGCAGGGAGAAAATCCAGATGGGAAATGAAATACTGGGTGGACGAGTCTGTAACAGCAGAAAGTGAGGTAAGTTAAACGGGATAGTACGTCCCTGAAGTCTGAATGACGATCTTCAGGTTAGGTTTGGAAAGTATACTTGTTAGATAACAAATTCTAGGACGCTATGTGAAGTGACAGTGTCCAGAAGGGTATTGGTCAAGTTAGGGAGTGAAAATTCTGGGGATCAGAAGACCTTAGTGGAACCAGATCTTGGAACTAAGAAGCTCTTGTTCAGTTTACCTTTTAGAGAAAATAGGAATTAGGGGGCCATCCATTATAAACCAAACACCAGCAAGTGGGTAGACTAATAGACAACCATCGACTTACTCTTGAATTTATTCCTGGCTCCTATGAAATGTTCATTGCTTGGATATAGTGTCTTTAATGTGCTCTTGTGACAGCACAGAAGATCAGATTGTGATCAGATTCAATCTCAGACACCTTGAGCTGATAGAACTGACTTTGGTTCTCAGTATCGCCAGACCCTAGCGGACAGAAGATGAGTCATTATTTGGGTGTCCATTCTAAGCTGGCTGTGGAACTGGGGGAAGGACACACAGTGCTGCCACTCTTTAAATTTGGCTGGGTCTCATCCTACCTTGTTTCTCTGGTGTATATGCTTTTAAACTATCCATATGTAGCTCGTGGATTATAATTATAGACACATAAAATCTCCATGAGTTACAATTTCAAAAATCACCAAAATCGCCGATTCATGTTATTCTCTTAAGTACCATAGGGGAAAAAATGGGCCGATGATTTCAGTGTTCTTGAATTGCACTTCATCGTAAATGTCACTTTTAAACATTTTCATAATTTTCAGTGATGGCTGTCATACTTTATCAGAGTTGCATTGACTGCCTGCCTATAAACTGTGAAATGCCACTGAGTCCGAGTTCTAAGACGGTAAGGAAGTAAGTAGAGTTAATTTTGAGTATTAAGTCGCAGGTGCGCTTTTACAGGTGCGAGACTTGTGGAACAGAAGAAGCAAAGTACAGATGTCCACGCTGCATGCGGTATTCCTGCAGGTAGATATGTAACTTCCTACCTTACTCCCCACCCGTACCCACTTGGACTCAGATACAGAACTGCCTCCTGTCTGTTTCTTCAGTTTGCCCTGTGTAAAGAAACACAAAGCCGACCTGACATGTAATGGAGTCCGGAATAAGACTGCTTATGTCTCCCTGCAGCAGTTTACTGAGATGAATCTCCTGAGTGGTAAGTCATTTTGTGCACAACACAAGAGTGCTTTCTGGCCACTGGCACATGTCACTTGATAACCTTTCCATTCTGAAATTACAAGACTATCGATTTTTGGAAGACGTGGCAAGAACGGCAGACCAGGTTTCAAGAGATACTTTCTTGAAAAGACCGAAGCGCAAAAAATATGTAAGTATTTCTTCTGATCTTTTCAAGTTCAAATCTCTTCCACTCAGTCTAATCATTTCTCAGCTGTATCAAGTGGCCACTGCATTGTGGGGCTAATCTGGTTATTTGAGATAGATGCAAAGTTCTTACCCTGAGGCGTTTGTATTGTAGAGGAGGGTAGTTAAGTGGGGGCGCTGGGAGGTATAGAACAGCAGATGGAATTTCTTACAGGTTTCAGGGCATGTAGGAAGTTAAGATGCTTCAAGAGAGTAAAGAAAGAGAACAAGGGGCTTGAGAGTCATGGACTGTTGAGAGTGTAACTGTCAACATGGTGTTAGAGATGGGCTTTCCTGAGAGGGACGGGTGGCCAGTGGACCTGATGGTATGAAATGGACGTTGGAGACATTTGGACAGACCTGGCATTCAGGAGCAATGCATAGCAAGACTGACTCAGGAATACAAAGATTCGAGTTGGGAACCGGATGTCTGTTCATGGGGGGTTCGGAGGGGGAGGGGCAGGATAATGGAAGCATCCTGAGTGGACAGGGTGAGGGAAACCTGTAAGAGTTTCCAAGCATTCTAAGTAAACATGAGACGAAGGGAAGGGAGGTGGGCCATAGTGGTGCCTTTAATCCAGCACTCAGGAGATGGAAGCACACAAGTGTCTAGGTTCCAGGCCAGGCAGGGCTACATTTGACCTTTTCTCAGAAAAGAAAAACAATGTCTTGAGCCTGGAGAGGTGGCTCAGCAGTTGAGAGTGCTCGGTCTTGCAGGGAAGCATGGGAGAATCTCTCTGTGTATATACACAGAGATGTACAAACCCCTACGACTCGTTCTAGATGTTCCAAAGCCCTCTTGTGGCCTCCAGCAGTACCAGGCACACAGGTGGTGCACATACAAGCAGGCAAACACTCACACACATAAAAATAAATTTTAATAAGAGGATGGCTTTCGCTTGGTGTTGGGGAACAACAGTGGAAGATGGAAGCATGAAGAACAGTTGCAGGGTGTGTGTGCCATGGCAGGGATGCTGGTGGCTGGGTAGGTGCCATGGCAGCCATGCTGGTGGCTGGGTGGGTGCCATGGCAGCCATACTGGTGGCTTGAGTATGCTGTTAGAAATCATTGGAAAGTGGTGTCATTTCAGTTTTAACAAAATAGTTAAACACAAAAAAAATTGGTAAGTGAAAAATTTATTAATACTATGAATCAAAGACCATTTCAGTGGAGAAGTTAGGATTTTCAATAACTTCCACACAGCTATGTTATTGGTACAGGGTTGATACTACACATGCAGAGAGTTACCAGGTAGCAGTTCTTACCACTACTCAGGTTTAATTAAACATCACTGAATTCTATTATATTGTAAAAAGTCATGAAATGGAAATCTAGTGTATTGATAGAACCTGCACTGGGTGTGGGGGGAGCACTCTGGCTTCCCTGGAGATCCAGCCCTCTGCTGTGCTGCAGTGACCTGGTGACCTTTGCAAAGTGCTGTCTTACAGCCATACCTTTGCTCATCCTGATGGTTTATAAACTTTGAATTTTCAGTAATTAACAAAAAACAAAAAAGCTGTTTTTGAAACTAATATTATTAAGAATCTTTTTGGGTTTGACTTATAGCTTGTCTGTGCGCTTGCTTTTCTAGGATTTATACCTAACATGAAATTGTTTAGTTGGGATGTGTCCATGTCCTCAGTGTGATTAGATATTAGAACTTATTGCCAGTTTTCATTCTGACCAGTTACATCTAAATGTGGTCCGGCTAAGTTTATGTTTAGTTGCTATAGGATTGATTGTGTTGGGCTTTAATTTACAATTCACTTACTCCTTCTGAGAAGACAGATCTCTCTCTAGTGGACATTTGATTTCCTCTTTGTGAGTGTGTGCTTACGAATTTTGGTCCTTTTGTTGGTCAGCTTTGTTATCTGTGACTCCATGTGGGCAAGCACACGCCAGGACACATGTGTGTGAGGTCAGACGACAGCCTCTGGTGCTTCTTTTGTCAGAGACAGGCTGTCTTCTCCTATCTCTAGCTCCCGTCACTCCGTAGGCGACTCGGATAGCAAACTCTGCTAGCACACTAAGCTTTTTGTGTGTTCTGTGATTTCAAACTCAGCTCTTCATACCTGTGCAGCAGATTGTTTACCCACTGAGGGGTCATCAGCCCTGCAGAGCTGTCTTTGTCTTTAATAGTTTATAAGAATTCTTTGTATTTTTTTAGATACTGGTCAATACTTGATAGAATGTTATAAGACTATTTCATATGGTTTATCTTTTCATTCTTTTGGTGAACAAACTATTTTAGTGTAAGTTTGATCATTTGCTTGTTTATAGTTAGTAGTTTATATGTTTATAAGGAAATTCTTTCCTGTACGTGGTCAGCAGCACTGTCATTTGGCTGGCCCACTTTGAACCTAGCATTTTCTATCTTGAAGTTACAAAGAATTGTTTTCTGAAAGCTTTATAGTATACATTTCACATTTTTGTCTTTTCCTGGAGTTGATTGTTAGTATTATTGAAAGGGAAGCTGCCATTTAATTTCCATGTAGATAATTGCTTTTCATAGCACCATTTCCTGGAAAGGTCATCTTTTGCTTCTTTCTCCCAAGGTCACTTTTATCATAAGCCAGGCAGCCATAGAACAAATGCTTCGGTCAGGTTGTAGCCTGTCTACGCCATCTTATTAGTCTGTTTATCAGTCTTGTATCTCTGCTGCACTCTGATTTATTGTAATGTGCTTCACTCAACATGTGGCCTATTTGCTTGGAAGAGACAGGAAGTCATTGTAAGCATTTGACCTTGTCACAGATTCACCCAGCCATAGGTCAGACTGGTTTGGGGTGAAAATTGAATCGATACTGAGCAGGCACAAACCTTCCTCTTACGATTATTCCCTGCATTACCTCTTGACTACTGTCTACAAAGTGTTGGGCATAAAGATTACTTCACATAGACAGAATGTATGAATGCCGTAATCAAATGTTACACCATTTATATAAGGGACTTGAGCATCTGCAAAGCCTGGTGTCCATCAGTGGCTCTTAGGGACAAGAGTAGGCTCTCTTAAAGTCAGGGTTGTTGAGTGTATTACTTAAATCATTCCTGTCTTTCCTTGCTTATAGTATTTCTAGTGAGTAAAAGCAAAATTACTTTTTGACCCCTGTGGCTTAGTTAATTTTTGCTTCATTACTTTAAAGCTAAATTACTAAATGCATCAGGAATTAGTTCTTCTTTGACTTTATGAGGTTACCTTTTCTTCTAAGCCAGTGGTTCTTGACCTGTGGATCACTACCCTTTTAAGATCATTAGAAAAAAAACATATTTATATTACAATTTGTAACAGTAGGAAAATTATAGTTATGAAGTAGCAACAAAAATAATTTTATGGTAGGGTATCACCATAACATAAGGAACTATATTAAAGGGTCACAGGGTTAAGAAGGTTGAGAACCACTGCTCTACGCTTTTGTCTGCTTTACCCAATATTAATTAAATGGTGCCAGTGCTTTGTCTGGTGTTGTGTTTTTATTTCTCCTCTCCTATCTTATGTTTTGATAGATCTTTGTGTCACAGTTGTGTTCTCTCTTGAGCAAGTATGATAATTTGTGAGGTTTTGCCAACTCATAAATACTTTTAAGGCAATTTTTAAATATTTTTATCTTTATATTTGTATTTCTCCCATTGCTTGGCTATGTTTTCAGTAGAAAAATTCATCTTTATAACTACTGTCATTACTAAAACCAAAGTCTAATGACTTAAAAAATTACATACCATTATTTTTGTAATTTTCTTGCTCAGCTGGTGATTGCTAACCGATGTCCATGGACTTATGACTCGCCTCTTCAATTTGGCATTACGACTCTTGATTCCTATCCATTTAACTAGAAAACTTAATTTCACCCCCCCTTTCTCTGGGTGGTCTTGTCTCTTCTTTAACTCAGTAGAAGATTTAGTTGAGTTACTTTGAGACTGTCCAGTTACCTCCTTGAACTTAATAACTAACTCAGATGGAGTAACATGTGTTAGAAACAGGTCTTTATATCCCGTTTTGTACCCTTTTTGTATACTATTACCGGAATGAGAATTGTAAGGCATTCTGAAGTTAACTTCTATTTGCTTTTGTTGTTAGCTGCTGTTTATGAGGAATCGTGCCCGAAAGCAGGGCATTTACTTGAGGCTTCTACCCTGTGGATTCAGCAAGAGGAAAGAGAACTCCACGGTTTTTGACCATAGGTAGGTTTCTCACTTTTACTGTATATATAGCTGTTGTAATTTGATAAGGAACAACCTATAAGGTTTGGTTTGCTTTAGAACATCCAGTTCCTGGATGACAAGAGAAACTGATAATTGTGTGTCCTGTGACTGGTGTGTATGTCCAGGGACATGTATGCTGTCCTTGAAGAAGCTTCTCAAATGTTAATGTACATAACAAACCAATAGCTATATTTGTGATTTAGTCTCAGTAAGTTGGAATTTGATAGCATGTATTTCTGACAGTGCCTCAACAATATTTGTGGCTGGGCTGGAATTTGATAGCGTACATTTCTAATGGTGCCCAGTAATGCTCATGGCTGAGAATCCTACTTTGAATAGTGTTGTGAAGTTTGCTCTGAGACCTAGAACACCATAGAAGCATTTGGGGAGCCTAACTTCAAATCTCAAAGGGTGGTAAAGCTAAGTTCTTGTGATTAAATCGTTCCTCTTCACTCAGCACTTTTACCTTAAGTAAGGTTCAAACTTGAGAGACTTCCTGCCTCTAGTTTTGTCGGCCGGCCGTCTCACTGTACTGCCCAGACTGGTCTCAGAGTTCTGACTCAAAGCACTTCCCACCTCAGACCTCTGGAGGCCTTCTGCTTGCAGTATCTGTGACTTCTTAGGAGCTTTGGTCAGTTGTTTTAGAGGACTTTGTTCTGGTGTTCTCCATCCCTTCTCTTCTTTCTCCAAGGTTCCTTGAGCCCTGAGCAGAGGGATCTGATTAAGATACCTTGTTTACAGCTGTGTGTTCCAAGCATGTATGTTTGCTCGCTCGCACGCGTGTTCTCTCTATGAGAGAGAGAGAGAGAGAGAGAGAGAGAGAGAGAGAGAGAGAGAGAGAGAGA